TCCAAACAGACCATGGTCCACGCTACTTATGGATGGAAGAAGCCCAGACCTGTAAGCAGGGAGATAAAACCGCACTGGGTTGGATTCAGCAAAAGGAGGGAGACCAGAAGCAAATGGCCAAGATGAACAAGATGATTGAAGCAATGTCAGCAGGACATTGGTCCCAGGGCTTTGCACTGCCTACCACCTCAGGTTCCAGTAGCTCTGCAGCACCGCCCTTGGCCATTCAGGACATGGATGCTCCCCTTTCTCCTCAGCAGTGGAAAATGGCCCAGACACAGTTGATTCAGGCCAAGGATGCCATGTCGAAGCTTGAGAAGGATGGTCTCAAGCATTTGCAGGTCATTGGGGACAACCGTGCTGACACAGTCTTTGAAGTGGTGCATCTTGGCTGCAATATGCTTTAGGGGAGACTTCTTATAGGGAAAGGTAACTAGAAGAAAGTTACTTGAGAGACTATGTGTGCATTATATCCCTGAACTCATGTTCAAAGTTACTTGAGAGAAGTCATTCATTTGATGGAGACACAAGTTACTTGTGACATGCACTGTCTCAGAGATGATATATTCAATGATTGATATCATGTTTGAAAAAGAACACATATTGTTGGCTCATAAAATGGGAATCTTATATATGGTTCATGTTCTCTACTTGTGTTTTTGAATCATTTTGCATAATCTCAGGAAAGATGTGATGACTGATATCAGGAAGGTCCTGGCTGAGATTTCACACGCATACCGGTTCAAAGAGCTTGAGAATGGTCAAGAGCTCACACTCAGCAAGCGCAATGCCCTGATGGCAGAGTGTGGCAAGAAGGCTGAGAGCCTGGATGACATTCTGGCTGGCATCAAGGGACAGTTGAATGCTCGAGCCAACCGCGCTAAGAAGTGATTGCCCCTATTGACATGGGCAGCAAGATTCGAGTAAGGCTTGCTTTTGCAGCAACCTGAAGAGAATCAAACCTAAGCTTCGCAGAATATTGGTTGAAAAAATGTCAGCACTTCATGGGTTACATGGGTATATCTGTCAGTTGAGTCAGTTACATGTTATGGATACTGGATACAAATACAAAAGAGTCACATGAGAAAATCTGTCAGTTACATGTTTTGGATTTACATGAGAACATCTGTCAGCATACTGCCTTCAACAAGTTAGTTACCTGAGTCCATCAGCACTACAAGTAACTGAAGCTGTTTCTTTTTCAGCACACAAAAAAAGGTACAGCCAGCGTGGCTACTGTCAGGTGGTCACCCCTGCCCTCAGCCTCAGCCATCTTCAGGGCCTTCGCTTTCTTGCTTCATCTTTAGCAGCAACAGTTGCCAGCTTAGGCAGGTGATGAGTAGCCATTGCACCCAGTTCTATGCAGGGATCTGTCAAGTTATGATCCAAAGCTGTTGGATAGTCACATTATGATTGAATATGTAATAGTGCTTTTACTATGGTTTTTTCTGCAGCAAAGATTGAGATAAGCATATATAGATGCAATCTCACTTGATGCATTCACAAGTAACATCAAGAAGTAACTTCACAAGTAACTCACAAGTAACTCCAAGGACTTCAGCATTAAGTGCTTAAGAAACATTACATCACACAGTCTCTCACTCAGTTGCTCCCTGGAGCAGTTTCACCAAATTTTGAATCAATGCTTCCTGGTGGCCCTCCCACCAAAAAAAGAAAAGGAGGCGTGCAACAAAGGTTGGCCAAAGCAGCGCAAGAACAGGAATGCCAAAGTGCTCTCTATGCCTTGCTCATGACTCACTTTGCAAAAGGGCTCATGAGTGGAGCTTTGATCCACTCCATTGCTAAGGCAGCTCAGCAAGATTTGGAAAATGCTGCCTCAGGCCTCAAGATCACAGAGCTCAAGAAGATTGCTTCATTGGAACATGCAAAGAATTTGGGCCCTATGTTGACTAGGATGATGGCCAAGGAGTCTACTCTCCCAGACCCCCTCCAGGTTCACATGCCTATGAAGGGTAGTGTGGATCACACTCCCTCTGCAGCGATCCTTCTACCACACGAGTACTTTGCAGCTATGTACCAAAAGGATGAAGCCTGGGAAAAATGCATCCTCCCAGATCCAGCCAAACTTCCTGGTTTTTGGAATTCTTTTGAAGGCCACCCATGTATGCAGTCCCATCCATGTAGAAGAAGGAAGGGATGGAAGAGCTTCACCATACCACTGGGATTACACGGTGATGAGGTGCCAGTCTTAGGCACTGGAAAAATCTGGTGTAAGTGTGCACTGGTTTTTTCATTGTTTTCCATCATGGCATCAGCAGGTGGAGCTGGCTTTCAAGACGCACACCTTTACATTTGGGGCATATTCGAAAAATATGTGGTCCCAGCTGCTGGATCTGCTTTGGGAACAATGGAAGTGTTTTGGACAATTATGAAGTGGTCTTTTTCTGCATTGGCTTCAGGGAAATATCCTTTGGTGGATTGGCAGGGCCAACCATTTGCATTGGGGTCAAAGGAAGCCAGAAGAGCTGGCAAAGACTTGGCTGAAGGCTACTGTGCAATACTTCTTCAGCTGGCAGGGGATCTAGACTACATGAGCAAATGGTTGGAGACACCAAGGGTGACCAACCATGAAAAACCCTGTCCTCTTTGTCGAGCTTCCTTTGCAGGACCCATGTCCTATTTGGACAACCGAAAAGACAGCCCCTGGCAAGCTTCACTGCTTATGCCAAGCAATTACAAAGAGCACTGGAGCCCTAAAGGGCCACTGTACACCATGGCAGGCTTCAGCAACCAATGCTTAGCCATGGATTTCATGCATACAATGCATCTTGGTTGGTTACAACATTTCTTTGGATCTGTCATCCACTTACTTGTGTACTATTTGTTGGATGGTGAGCCTTTGGACAACCTGCAGTTTGTCTACAACTACATCAAGCAACACCAGAAGAAGAATCAGGCAAAGCACCCATACAAGATGAAACTGGACAAGCTCACCATGTTTCAACCAAAAAAAGGATACCCTAAACTGCGAGGAAGGGCAGCAGACATAGCAGGTTTGGCACACTGTCTCCATGACCTTTGGCAAGAACAAATGCAAGCAGGAGATGAGTGGCATGCGCGTGTCAGATTGTTCTTACAATACAATCTTGAGCTCAAGAGAACTTTGGAAACCTTTTCTCCTACATATGGGTTTACTGCAATTCCACAGGCACAATATGACAAAGTTTTTCAGGCAGGGTTGACTATGGCTCAGCTGCACAAACAATTGAGTGAACACTTCGAAGCACAAGACATAAAAATTTTCAATGTCACATCGAAGACCCACTTTGCACTTCATAGTCTCCAATTTTCCAAGTACATCCACCCATTTTTGCTGTGGTGCTACAAGGGTGAGAGTACCATGCACAGGGCACAGACCCTTTGGAAGAGTTGCCTAGCTGGCACCAAGCATTGGCAAGCTTCCAAAAAAGCAGCCTGGAAAGAGCGCCATTTAATGTGGTTGCAGGGCAAGCTTTGAGTTTCACCTGGCTTCACACATCCCAGCAAAAAGAAAAAAGAAATTGCTTGTGAGTTGATGTTGGAAACCATTCTTGTCTGTTACCTGTGAAGACAAACTTCAAAGGTGTCAATTCATTCCAATGCTACTTGTGTGTGTTACCTGTGAAAACCAACTTCATGTGTAACTTCCAAACCCATGTTTTGTTTGTTTCTGTGTTGTTTTTGTGTTGACTGTTGTGGTTGTTTCTATGTTGTTTATATGTTGTTTCTATGCTGTTTCTATGTTGTTTATATGTTGTTTATATGTTGTTTCTACGCTGTTTCTATGTTGTTTTGACTTTGTTGAAATTTACTATGAAAAATTAGTTTTTCCAAAATTTACTAGGAAACCTACTAATTTTTTCAATTACATTGATTTCATCCAAAAACTAAATTTAGTTGATCTGCAGACTCAGGGAACCGTCGTTCCGCAGACCTTGACTTGCCAGCTTCGGAGCCACCGGTTCCATTGAAAAATACAGCATTTCGTGCGTTCGCTATCTCTCCACAACGCATTTTGTATTGCGCCTGCCACGACGTCTGCACATGGAGGTGCACAAAGTGCTGTGCCTGCCACGAAATCTGCGCATGGAGGTTCACAAAGTGCTGCACCTGCCACGAAATCTGCACATGGAGGTTCGCAAAGTGCTGTGCCTGCCACGAAATCTGCACATGGAGGTTCACAAAGTGCTGCACCTGCCACGAAATCTGCACATGGAGGTTCACAAAGTGCTGCGCCTGCCACGAAATCTGCACCTGGAGCTGGAGTTGCCTGGAGCTTGAGCTGTTGAAACCAGAGCTAACTGGAGCTAGAGCTATTGAAACTAAGAGCTTATTGGAGCTAGAGCTGTTGACACTAGAGCCAACTGGAGGTAGAGCAAACTGGATGATAAGTAGCGTATGATGAGTGGTGTATGGTGACTGGTGTATGATGACTGGTGTATGATGAGTGGTGTATGATGAGTGGTGTATGAAGAGTGGTTGTATGATGACTGGTGTATGATGAGTGGTGTATGATGAGTGGTGTATGATGAGCGGTGTATGATGAGTGGTGTATGATGAGTGGTGTGTGGTGAGTCGTGTATGATGAGTGGTGTATGATGATTAGTGTATGATGAGTGGTGTATGATGAGTGGTGTATGATGAGTGGTGTATGATGAGTGGTGTATGATGAGTGGTGTATGATGAGTCGTGTATGATGAGTGGTGTATGATGAGTGGGGTGTGATGAGTGGTGTATGATGAGTGGTGTATGATGAGTGGGTGCATGGTGAGTGGTGTATGATGAGTGGTGTAGGATGAGTGGTGTATGATGAGTGGTGTATGATGAGTGGTGTATGATGAGTGGTGGTTGAACAGCTGTTGAATGTCCGTAACACGGAAGTTTTGCACACTAAACTTCCTTTGATAACTTTTACGATCTTACCAAATCTCAAAATATTACAGTATACAACATCATACAATATATATATATATAAACTTTCTTAATCTTTCTTATGGGGCCTCCCGAGTCTTGATGAGAGTCAAAGGCGTCGGTGCAGGCTCCGGAGACCTTCACTCAGGCGGCAATTAGAAACTCTGGTCCGCGAATCGACGAAACGGGTTGGCGTCCGCTTCAGAACTATCCGGACATCAAGCACCGAGCCCCAAACCCAAAACGCTCAGGCAAAGTCGGCTCCTTCGATAAGCAGCATATAGAAGCATTGAAGTGTCTGCTCCCTTTGCTTCTTGCCCGACTTTTCCGACATTGGACGCTCATGATTAATGATCTTCTACTGTATGATGTCAGGCCTGCTGCAAAGTTGCAGAGCTGTGGGCAGGCTCTGAAGCACTGGGCCCGCCTAGAAAAGAGTGCGGGAGACACGGGGGGCATCGAGGAGTCACACGGTGCCACAACGCCGCCTGATGTCTCCGGAGCAGCTCCCCTCTGTGCCTTTTTCAAGCGGTGAAGCTGCAGCGTGTCCTTTTTGTGTATGTTCATGTATATTCTGATGTGCGATGTGAAGCTGAGATATGCACTTGCTCCGCTCGGACAAGCTCCGCTGCCTGAAAACGTATCAAATGCAAATACTTCTGGCGAACAAACCAGCATACACCTGCGACAACGCCAACATGCCTCTGCGGCAAGCTGCTGTAAGAGGCCATCCCAGCTCGGCCTGCGTTGGTGCGCCCCTCCAAAAGTCGCAAGAAGACAGGTTTGTAAAGCTTAGAGCGTGTTTCAAGAAAGTCTCAAACTGCAGACTCAAACCAGCATCTGCCTGGTAAAAATAGCAGCAGCTGCGTGAAGCGCTGCTGCTAGATGCATGAGCTGATTGCGGATTTTGCGGTTGGACCCGAAGCCCAGGCCAAAAAAGCGCCCGCGGACAGCTGCAAGGCTCCAGTGCGACTCAGAATGCGCCGGAAGATAGAGACATACCCCCTACCTTGGATGGGGGGTGCTGTGGTACACCCAGCGTTGAAAGCGCTACCCAACGGCCCTTCCCTTTCGAAGCGGTGTGAAGAAATCTTTCAGATCAGGGAGCGCGCGTCTTTAGAATGAACTTGGCAACCGCCCACGTCCTAGTCAGAAAATGATCTTTTGGGGGTGGGATCATACCCAAAAGTTTCTTGCAGTCTTTTTGAACAAAGAGGGATACATCTGTGAGATTCTTAGATCTGTATTTTCAGGCTCAACCACTAAAATACAGTCAAATTCCGCTAAGCTGCAACTGCTAGCGCTCCTTTTTGTCGCGATGAGCTGCGTGCTTGAGCCAAGAATTGGCATGGTGCGTAAAAGCTTAGCTTTAGGTGATGTATTTCAACACCCCCTCTGCTTTCGCAAGCGACGCGCGAATTAGCAGCTATGATCGGGCTAAGCTGTGATGCCAGCGTGAATCTTCTTTTAAAGATCACTCTATGGCACACGCTTCAAATGCATGCATGCAGCTCGAATTTAGTAGGATCGCCAGTTCCCAGTTGACCACCGTCCATAGTAGTCACGAGTCCACCATTGCCCCTGGTAGAAGGTGTAGTATCCCCAGCGATCGCCATCTTGATACTCTCGGGCAACAGCGCGAGCTGTGCGGAGAGCTCCCTCTCTTGCATCTCTCACAGGCACGGACTTCGATGTTGTGGTAGATGCTGGTGAAGGGATCGGTGGCGTCTTTGGTGCAGGTGGGCGCTGCAAGGTAGTCGGTGGACTTGGTGGGAATTTTGCCGTAGGCATCTGGCGAATGTCAATCGGGCCAATCGCATTGTAGCCAGCGCTTGGTGAGCTTTCACCTTCCGGTTCGGCTGTTGGGGCAACCCTCTGGCTTGGTGCGGTCTTTGGTGGAGTTTTTGGGGCAGCGGTATGAGCTCTGCTGACCGAGGCAGCGACATGAGCTCTGCTAGCCGTTCCACGACCTTTGGCTGCATTCCTTTCAGCCGCCCGTTCGCTTTGCTGACGCTTGTTTTGCACAAGCTGTTGAGCAACTGGTAGGGAGCTGTCAATGGTTTCATAAGCTCTCTCAATGATGGTACCTCGATGATCTCCATGACACAGGTAAAGGTCAACAGGTTGGTGCCTTTGCCACGGGTCTTGCGGTGATCGCAGAGGTCCTGGAATTCCTTGAGAGAATAGAGCTCACGCTTCCAGATGATCACCCAGTGAGAGTGTTCAAAGCGTTCCAAGAGACCTGGGTCGCTGCCGGTAATGTCCGCGATGTCTTCGCCCACGTACATCAATTTTAATTTTGCAAAATCCAGATCGTTTGCGGTCCGCATTCCCACTCCAAGATCAACCTGAGCACGGGTGCGTGGGGGCATAGGAAGATGACCATGTGCCACTATGTCTCGCAGCTGGATGTCGAGCAACGTAATGTTGTGCTCGGTCATCCGTTCCACGAACTGCACGTCGTTCTCATAGCGGTCAGCCATCGAAGTATATCCCAGGCCGATGGCTCTCTTCAGCTGCTGTCTTGCAGTTCCGATGTAATCGCCTTCGGGGCTTCGATTACCTCGGGCAGATTCCTCGCGGAACTGCTTGCTCTGGCTGCCG